ACTTGAGGCCAGGAGTTCGAGACCAGCCTGGCCAACACGGTGAAACTCCGTCTCTAGTATATATGTAAATACATACATATATACACGTATATATGTAAATACATACATATATACACGTATATATGTAAATACATACATATATACACGTATATATGCAAATACATACATATATACACGTATATATGCATATATATACACGTGTATATATATAAAAATATATAAATATATATATATACGTGTGTATATATATATATTTATATATATACACACACACATATACGTGTATATATGTATATATTTAACCAGGTGTGGTGGCACGTAGTCCCAGCTACTTGGGAGGTTGGAGCAGGAGGATCACTTTTACCTGGGAGGCGGAGGTTGCAGTGAGCTGAGATCACTCCTCTGCACTCCCGCCTGGGTGACAAAAAAAAAAAAAAAAAGAAAAGGAAAGAAAAATAATTCACTGTCAGAGAAAATGATCTACATGGTCAAAATATGGAAAATGCAGCTTTTCTTAGGGAGTCCAAAAATTAGCCATGAGCCTGAGAGAGTTAGGGCAGATCAGATATTGTAAGATATTGAATTCTAATTACCATTTCTAGGTAAAGCTCAATACATATAATGCTTTTAAGAATCATACAAATATATATTAATATTTTATTTTCCAGCTGCGAGTTTTCAAGTTGGCAAAATCTTGGCCAACGTTAAATATGCTAATAAAGATTATTGGCAATTCCGTGGGGGCTCTGGGAAATTTAACCCTTGTGTTGGCCATCATCGTCTTCATTTTTGCCGTGGTTGGCATGCAGCTCTTTGGTAAAAGCTACAAAGATTGTGTCTGCAAGATCGCCAGTGATTGTCAACTCCCACGCTGGCACATGAATGACTTCTTCCACTCCTTCCTGATTGTGTTCCGCGTGCTGTGTGGGGAGTGGATAGAGACCATGTGGGACTGTATGGAGGTTGCCGGTCAAGCCATGTGCCTTACTGTCTTCATGATGGTCATGGTGATTGGAAACCTAGTGGTATGTACCCACTTAAGATACGCATTTCAGAAATACATTAAGAGTATAATGGAATGGTGACCGTTCTGTCAAAAAGAAAAACAAACTATGTTTATTAGTTTAAAAGTCCGTTACCTTGGATATATTATCACTTTAACAACACAGCAATATAGCAGTGCCCCTACATTTTTTATACCAAATTCTATTTCGTCAGTCACTTCATCACATTTTTATGTGAATTACAGTAGAGTATCATATTGAAGACAAGTCTAAAAGGATGTGCTGGGACCATTTTATAAATTCGGAGCCAAGGAAGAGAGAAGTCTAAAAAAAGTGGAGAGAGAAAGAGCAAAATTACCATCCAGATCAGGACTAAAAAGTGGTGTCTTTAAGTGTTCGTAATGATTGTGCCGTTTCTTTGCCTCATTGTAGCATATGATATTCAATCACTCTACGTCATATGGCAGATGCACTAGCCAACCTGAGTTTGTCAGTTCTCGAATAGCTAATGACTCCTGAAATTACCCTAATAGAGTAACTGATCAATCTTTATCTCTCTTAAATTTGGAGTGTTACTGTTTATAGTATAGAAATATATAAAATATTCTAAAAGTATGTACATTCATGTGCCAGTCTCATGGAAATATGAGAGATTATTCATAAACATATCTACTTAGTCAACAATGAAGTATGAGAAATATAACAGATTAAGAAAACAAGTGTCAATGCCTATGTTAAGCTCCTGATCTTCATTCTGAGTCATAATGGTTATTTTTCAATTAACATCCAATTTAATATCTTTGTTTATCAAAAAATTATAGAATGCATTTACATCCATAATTGGAAACATTAGTGATTTTTAAGAATTCTTGTGTAGTACCTATATAAACCTGTCTTCTTTTACTCATGAATTTTAGAGTTAGCAAACCCTTAGATTAGCTCATTCAATTTCACTTTACAAATGGGAGAACTTGAGAGCAATGGAAATCATGTCTTTGTCCAGGGATGTGCTATTGAGCCAGTCACAAATTCAGATCACCCATCTTCTAACCACTATGCTGTGGTGTTTCCTTCTCATCAAGTTTTAGAACTTAGAGTTTCTTCCACACTTAAAAGAATAAGTGATTGTAATCTGCTCTTCCCTACATCGATGTAAAATTATAATCATGTTTTTGTTGTTTTAAAGGTCCTGAATCTCTTTCTGGCCTTGCTTCTGAGCTCATTTAGTGCAGACAACCTTGCAGCCACTGATGATGATAATGAAATGAACAATCTCCAAATTGCTGTGGATAGGATGCACAAAGGAGTAGCTTATGTGAAAAGAAAAATATATGAATTTATTCAACAGTCCTTCATTAGAAAACAAAAGATTTTAGATGAAATTAAACCACTTGATGATCTAAACAACAAGAAAGACAGTTGTATGTCCAATCATACAACAGAAATTGGGAAAGATCTTGACTATCTTAAAGATGTAAATGGAACTACAAGCGGTATAGGAACTGGCAGCAGTGTTGAAAAGTACATTATTGATGAAAGTGATTACATGTCATTCATAAACAATCCCAGTCTTACTGTGACTGTACCAATTGCTGTAGGAGAATCTGACTTTGAAAATTTAAACACGGAAGACTTTAGTAGTGAATCGGATCTGGAAGAAAGCAAAGAGGTAAGATTCTATAGGTGTGTGAAGGTATGAATACATATACATATATACATATACACACATACAGATGATCCTCAATTTAATGATGTTTTGACTTAAGATTTTTTACTTTATGATAATACAAAAGCAATATCCATTCACTAGAAACCATGCTTCAAATTTTGAATTTTGATCTTTTCCCAGGCTAGCAATTTGTGGCACAAGATACCCTCATTATGCTGGGCAGTGGCAGCAAGCTGCAGCTCCCAGTCAACCATGTGATTACAAAGATAAACAACCAATATTCACCATACAGTATACTGTATTCAGTAAATTACATAAGGTATCCAACAGTTTATTATAAATTGTGCTTTTCTTTAGATGATCTTGCCCAACTGTAGACTAATCTAAATGTTCTGAGCATGTTTAAAGTAGACTAGGGTAAGTTATAAAGTTTGGTAATTAGATGTATTAAATGAGTTTTGATGTACAATATTTTCAACTCACAATGAGTTTATCAGGAGCTAACCTCATTGTAAGTTGAGGAACATTTACAGTACATGTATTATATTGCCTGTATTTCTTATTACATATTTTCCATATAGATTTTTTGACATCATGTAAAATTTTATTTCACTGAAGAACAAAAGATTTAACTCAAGCTAATGATTGAAAAATTAAAG